GCCCATCACCACCATTTCCTCAACTCTTGTCACAGCTCCATCTTCTTCGTCTTCCTCTTCAGATAAATCTTCTACTAATTCAACAGAAAAGGCCATTTCTGTTGGTTCTACTACTGTGTTAACTGCGTCAACTTCCCCAACTTCTTCACTGAATCAGCACTTTTTTCAAGCTCCGAGTGATTTGATAGCAGATCCCTTCTTTTTCCCCGTGCAACAAGGACCCACTGCTGCTTTGCCACAAGGGTTTTGCTTTCCTAATGTTGCAGATCAGTCTAATCTTTTACTCGGTGACTTTATGTGGATGAATAAAGGGGCTTTGAAGAAAGCTGAAGATGAGAAGATTAAACTGCAGCAACAGCTATGTCACGCTGTAGCCACGCCACCGACCTTTACTCAAACCATTGTTCCTCCGTCTTTCTCTGTTCCATCGCCAATCAATCCCATTCAAGGTAAAAACTTTTCCCCTTGTTTTCTCTTTCATTAGGGTTTATTGAAGGAAAAAGTAGGGTTTTTTTTTTTTTCCCCATGTTTTCTAGCTAAAAGAAGATCGTTCAGAACTGAAAATGACAAATTAACAATGCGTGTTACTTTTTTTTTTTTTTTTATCTCGGATATCAATGAATTGACTGAGGTTCACTGTTCACGGTTAATTGTAACTGTTATATACCTCATTTTTCATACGTTATGGATAATGGACATTTACATCTAGGAAAAGATTAAGCCCCGTTTGACAAAACTTTTTATGATTATGAGCCACTATGTTTCATAAAATATTTGATTAAGAAGTGAAAAAAAAATGTGAATTCAATAAAATGTACGATTAAAAAGAAATTTGACCGACTTAAAATCTAAAGAAAGCTTTATCAACTAAAGGTTAAATCATATGAATTTTTTCTTGATTGGATAGTTCCTTTCCTGTAGAGAGACGTTAAATTGTGTTGGTTACTCTTTATCTTACATGCAAAAAGTATGGCCTAGGCATGATATATTCTCAAGTGTACCGCGCTAATTTATGAATTGCACATTAGGAATTGAAAAACTGAAAGAAGGGAGTTGTTGATATGATGTTTGTTGGTGTAGGAGTAGGCAATTCCGTTCGAGTACCTAAAAGGTCAATAGTATTTATCAATGATGCATGCTTCGAGGTAGCGGTGGGACCCTTCAATGTTAGAGAAACATTCGGTGATGACGCAATACTTGTACACTCCTCTGGTCTTCCGATACTCACTGACGATTGGGGAGTGACCCTTCAACCTCTGCAAGATGGTGGTTTTTATTATGTAGTGCGCTCGTTTACTTCATTTCCATATGAGTGACCGAGTTGAAGAGAAGGGTTGCCTATTTTTAGCTATCTTATTTGAAGTGTCTCCCCTAGCCCTTTAAAGGCCATTTTTCAAAGTTTCTATTTTGTATTGTGAGCGTGTTCCATGGGGTGGTATGACATAAATATCTACCCATTATGTGTACTTATATAAATAATTATACTTAAATGTGTTTTTGTCATACTTTTCGTGGTCATCATACTCCGAACGTATGGTCTCTTTAGTTTATTTTCACTTTTATATTTGTTGCTTGAAGGAGATTGTGTGAATTTATTATCATATCCCAAATTCGAAAAATCTATCTCAATTTCATAGTTTTTATGAATGTATCCAAAACCATCGATGTATACATATTCCCTTGTCCTCGAGTAGAAAGGTCGTGCCTTCGCTTTGACTTTACTTATAACGATGCGACTTTTGTCATTTATTTTCTAACAAGTTTGGGCAATGATGAAACCATTGGTCTTGGCCCATATTGTTGGAAATAACTAAATGACCATTGTCCGATAACACAAAACAACTGGCCCAAAACCCGGCCCAATCCATCCCACATTTGAGCTGCTTTGGATCGTAGATGTTGGGCTGATCGAACGGTTGCTGGTTTGGGTTTTATATACTAGCTGGAGTGTCACTTTGGTAACAAATTTTTCACACACTCTCTCGCTTCTTTTGGGAAGCTATTGGCTGTTCCTATTCTTCGAGTTTCTTCGTGTTCTCTTCTCTTTTTCTTATTGAAATAGTGAGATAGATTTTAACTGCTGGTTTTAATCCTTTTAATCTTTGTAATTAGTTGCCTTTGTGGTTGTGTTCGAGTGAGAGGTGCTGTCAAGTTTGGCTGTGTGTTTATCTTCGTTCCATCAAGTAATCGGTGTGGGTTTTAGATTAGGGATTTGGGTGTTTGTGGCTGATGCTTTGTACAGAAGGGTGCAATGAATTTCTGAGCCCAAAATGAAATAGAATTCGGTTCTTGTTNTGGGTGTTTGTGGCTGTTGCTTTGTACAGAAGGGTACAATGTATATTCTAAGCCCTTTGTTAATGAAAGGATCGATTTCTTGATGTATCAAGTATTCTTTGTGAATCTAGTTTATGCTTCTGTTTGTGGTTTTTGATTCTACAAGTGGTATCAGAGAGTGTGTAAGGCGTTCTGGAATCTTCGATTGATGGTTTTATTACTTGGAAATTGATTTTTCAGTTGATACCCTAAAATCGATTGAAATCGCAGAAACCCTAGCTAATTTTTTTTAAATTCCTTTCTGATTCGGTCTCTAATATTTCTCTGTTTTGTGTTTCTTACGAGGACCTTGATTCTTGGTGAACCTGGTTGGATTGGCCAACTTCGAGTTGTCTATCACTGGTCGCTGGAACCTGCTTAGTGCTTGATTCTTCGAACCAGCCTTGGTGAAATACTTCTTAACCCCCTGCATTCCTGGATTCTTGATTGTGTTATTACTACATCTTGAGTATTTTCATTTCCCCAGTGAATTGTGTTCCCTGATGTTAGAATTGAGCCTTGATCTGAGGTCTTGAGCCTCATGGAATCCTGATGAATTTTAACACTTGAAATTGTTAATATTTTGATTATTAGTCTGTTTAGTTTCAGTTTCTTAATTCTGTGTGAATTCTTGTGATAGTTGGTCCGTTTTAATCTCACTGCTTATCTTTTGTTGATTTACTGAGCTTATTAAAACTGCTTATTATCACTGTTCACTGAGTTGTAAGCTTGTTTTGAATTGATACTTTCATCCTTATTTTTTTTGTTTTGCACTGAGAAGTTGTGTGACTCTAAATTGGTTGTGTTGAAGTATCTATTTCATTTTTTTCTGTGGGACTATGACCTCAAAAATCTTTTGTGTTGATTAAAAATTTCAAATAACAATGGCAACACTTGAACTTGGAGTTTTTAATGGAAAATAGGATTTCCCCATTTGGCAGCAAAAAATAAAAGGGGTTTTAGTTCAACAGAAAG